ACCGCCCGCCAAACGCTTGAAGTCGGTCAAATCCTCCAATTCTCTGTTGCACATTCCGGACGAGAACAGCATTGAGAAGGACACTGAGGATGTCAAGCACGAAGACGACACGAAGCTTGAAGACCCAACTGCTTTTTGAATGCAGTATGGATATACTTTTGTGCTTTCTGTTATAGTTACATGACAAGATATGTGCAGTGTAAATATATATTTGTAAGCCTCAATAAAGCTATAGTTGATTCTTCCGGTGTGGGGGGGGCACAATCTGTGCTGTTAGTTTGGTAAATGCAATTGGTAATGTTCTCACATAAAGTCGACATGAGCTTCACATGTACTTGATGGATATTTACATTGCAAGAAAGGATACCAAAGCAGTGGACAGCGTCGACACAAAGCCGGATGAGCCAAAGGTGTCTTTGCTAACGAGAGATTTTGTTTTGCTTAGTATAATAGTGTCCCCTAACATTCCACACATTCCGCTTCCGAGGTGCATGTAAAGCAAGAAATGGCAGAAGCAACCCTGAAAGTCAATGCTTTCAAGCAATCCTTGAAGGGCCGCGTCCTCAGCATCAAACTTTCCGACTCATCCGATGCGCCGGAGCCAAACATTCCAAAGCCGTCTGGTGAAAGCCCGCAAGATGAATTGGAAGAGGAGCTTGAGGCACTTATGGACGAGGACGACATCTGAGCGCTAATTTCCGAGCCTCTCGTAGCCGATAACGACGATGTTAAACTCGTATTTTGAGTATTGTGTTCTCGCGCTATGGAAATCCTCATGTCAATAGACGAGATTATTGTTGTGACTATGCATGGTTGCATGACCGTTGTTTCTTCCACAGAGAACACGTACACACACGAGAATATCTCCGATCGCAGCCCTGCACAGACAGGAAACATCGATGCGAACAGTATGCATCTGCATCATCATGCTCCATGTTGCACCCAGCACAGTGCTGTCCGACATCGTAGGTTTGCAATCAAGGCAGCTTACATCCTAACAAATCTGCATTCTGCTTTTAAGCTGTTCACATCTCAAAATTTTGTCTGCTTCCTTGTAGCTTTGTCCATCCATGGGAAAGGTGTTCAAGCAACCCATCATCCACAAGAAGGGTAAATTCCGTGCTGCCCAGAAGAAGCCTGCCATCAAAAAGGACAAGCTCTGGAAGGACACACCCTACGTCCGAGATCAGCTCCTGGTTGGTCCGCGTGGACAACGCAAGGACCAGGTTAAATGGCAACGCAATCTTCCTGAACTCCTCATGGCGAGCAACAAGAAGGTCATCACAATGCTTGTGGCGGACAAGATTTTGCCGAAATGGAAGGGCAAGACGTGTCCCCATTGTGAGGTTGGTATCTTGCCCGACCTTTGTGTGGAGAAGCGCACCGGCTTGTACAAACATCGGTGCAGCTCCCGCCATTGCCACCAGTACGTGAGCCCGCACCACTTACATCCGGTATTCACGGAAGGAAAAGGTTCAGCTTCACGGAGCCTTCAGATGCAAGCATCTCTTCTGCTACTCAAACTTCTGCGCGTGCCACATCCTACCATCCACGTCCTCTTGAATGTGAATCACAAGGCTATCGAAGACATGGAGAAAAGGATTTGCGATCTTCGTAAAGCATTCGTGGAAAAGCACGAGAAAAACGTCGTGTTTGGCGATGGCAGGACCTGGAAAGACGTGGAAGCAGCAACTTGTCGACCACATTGTGTTTATGGCTTTATTATAACTGAAATAAGATCTTCTAATATTTGGGATAAAGCTTATGAAGTCATACAAAATTAGACGATGCTCTCGGACGTTCAGCAAACACACATGCAAGGACGAAGCCACATTTGACAGAAGGGATATTTCCCAGGATGTGAACTTCAAGCACCTGGTGATGAACAACAAAACCACTACCATGTGGGAACAGTGGGCGGGGGTAATCCAGCGAGGCCGCCCTGAAACGCTCATACTCTCCAGGTTGAAGCCGAAACTCACTGTGAAGCGAGCCCCAGGGCCCGGAGCAATCAGGCGCACCGAGTGGAAGACCCTTGGGACCAAACTTCTCAAGGACCGGAAGGTTGTTCTTCACACGGATGCGGCCCGGTCCTACAAGGCCAAAATTGCAGGTGTCATTCACGACAAGGTGGTTCATGCCAAAAAACGTGTGAAGCGGAATGGCAAGTTCATCTGGCAGCATCCCAAGTATGTTAAGGTCGTGACCCACAAGATCCCTAAGTCCAACAAGAAGATCGTTGTGAAGTCTGGAACACAGATTATCGATCGCTGTTGGAGGTTTTTGAAGGATCGGGTCAAAGTCAACCAGCACACCAATGCTGGCAGTAGACAGCTATGTGCCAAACTGAGGTCTGCTCAATACGAGTACTGGTACCGTAATGAGGACCTGTGGCTTAAGTTTGGCGAATTGTGCGCTGAGAATATGCGCAAGTTTTTGAAGTAAGCCTGTCTATGATGACTCAGATCTTCGCTCGCGTGAGGTAGCTTCGAATGACAACCCCCTTCAGACCGCACTTTTCTGGTGTATTTGATGGCCCGAAAACGCCCTCAGACCGCACTTTCTGCTGCATCTGATGGCCGAAAAAAACGCTTCGCATGCTTATTCTGCTGTACTGTGTTGTAGAAGGTGTCACTTCTTGTTGTGTTGCTCTTGTTGCTTCTTTCGCAACCCCATGAAACGATGTGAACGAAAACACTCAAACAGTGTCACAGTGTCCATTCGGATGACCGCCTGGTACGAGTTATGTTGCCAACCATCCGCATACACATGCAGTCGTTTCTGTCACTCGTGCTCAAGTGATACGGCAGCTGTGCCCTATCACTCACAACACATAAAGGCAGCATGTGTGGTATGCGCATGCGTGTACATATCGACAACTGACAAATGATATATACACATGCAGTCGTTCATGTCACTCGTGCTCAAGTGATACGGCAGTTCTGCCCTATCACTCACAACCCATAAACAACATGCGTGGTATGTGCATGCCTGTTACATACCGGAGACTGGTGTATTACAGCATGTTAGTACAGAGCTCTGTTTTTTGTATGAGCATGACACATGTATAACACATACACTACCATCTGTGTGTGTGTGTACATGTTGTTTGTCTATTGTCCGGACTTTTCTGGCGTCGGCATCGAACAGCGACTCAGCCGCACTTAAAAAATGTCTTGGCTCAAGTTCTGGGCCCATGACCAAAAAAAAATTTGGTATGTAGCCGTAGATGTATTGGGGTTCATTTTGCTGTGGAGGATTAATTCTGTTTTCGAATGAAAGAGATAAGGAAAGAGCAGGCAATGATGGGCAGGGCATCGGTTTCGATATTGTGAGGTTGGGATCTTTGTGTGGAGAAGTGCACCGGCTTGTACGAGCAGCGAGCAAGGGTACTGCCTCATAAAGCCTCCAGATGCAAGCGTCTCTTCTGCTACTCAAACTTGTGTGAGTGCCACAACTTTCGCGTAGCCTCGTAGCATATGTGATCTCATGGCTAGTGTACCAAGGGTCTCAGGCCAGCACTATCAAGGAGTGGCCCTTGACGTTCAAGAGCCTGATGCCTTGGGCTTTGAACCACATCGTGGCCCCCATCCTGCCCCCGTCTTGGAGCATGCCATTATCTGGATCGGTAAATCTCGTGTAAGCAAAAACCCTGTAAGCCATTACATCGGCCTTTTGGTTGCTGCAAGAAGATCGTGGTCATGAGGTCCCAGCCTTTCAAACTACTAGTCACATGGATTACTTCAGGAAACATTCGGCACGAAACTGCTGCAACTCGAGAAGCCTATCGTAGGAACAGGTCGAGTCGGAGATCTTCCCTGCAAAGCAGACGCCATGGAGACTTGGTCCTTTGATGTGGCGGTATGGCAGCATCTCCCAGTGTGTGTCGCAGATGACATCCTCAAGTTAGTTTTGGGGGTTGTGCCGACGGACCCAACAGTCGTGCCCAGAGCTCCCGTGGAGTGGCCTCGCCGCTTCGTAAGCCTTCCGAACGGACTCTTAGTCACGGTTAGTATGTTGTAGTAATGTAACAGCACTGTTGTGTTCAAAGTCCTGGTCATGTATAAGGAACAATGGTGTGGCGCTGCAAGGGCAACTGCTACACGTACGACGACGATGACGATGAAAGAGGTCTCACCCAGCTAGAGTATGCTTTGCTCCTGAAAGCGCTCACTAAGTGAGAAGCTTAACGGAGCAATGCTTCACTCAAAAACAGCGGGCCATGGGAGCGGAACTAAAGTTGGATTTTTTACTGTGTGTAAGACGTGTTTGTACTCTGTGGTGTGCACTTTCCGCCTAGCTCAGGTGATGCCGCGCCACGCCTCCTGGAGTCTTTGTTTTTTTGGGTTTTGGGGTTAGGGGGTTTCGGTTGGCATGGCACTTTTTCTGGTGTATAATTGCATATAAACACACAAACTGCGGATTCATGCGGGGGGTAGCACATCTATATATATATAT